GCGATTCTGTGATTCTGTGAATCTGTGAATCAGATTCCGCAAGTGCCTTAAGGCCAGTGGATGTCACGGGAGACTAACAGTTGGACTCTTCATAGCAATGGAGCTTACTGTGGTCCATGAATATAAAATGGGTTTACTTTCTCAGAAAAGGATTTTGCTGGAAGAAGCTTACTGAGTAGCCCAACTATTCTTTTATATACAAGGCTGTATGGATGCTACGTAAGTCTGATCTGATCAACACTCATAGTGACATGCAGTTACACAACATCTTTTTCCTGCAAATCATGATTATATGGTCCCAGTAAGAAATGGACTGGATCTCATCAGATATTGTTTAGGATGAATAAGGACTTGTGTACAAGTTGTAAGGTGGAAAACCTGGTACTGATTATAAGAGAGGAGGTTGATGGCTTTTCATGCAAAGCCTTTCTGAAGTGTTTATTTTTAATTATGCAACATACATAAACATTGTATAACCTTCCCTGCAGATTGATATGTCTATTTATATGTGAAAAGCAAATAGATATTATTAGGAGAGCTGTTTATGATATAAAGATCTCTCTTCAGGAGATCTTAATTTCTCTTTCAAATAGGCTACTTAGCACATCAGTGAATGGCATTTACTGTGCATTCAGACCCAGGGGACAAGTAAAAGATGACTCTGCGAAATTAGCTACTCCCTTTGCTGTCTTTTAAATCGTGATCGTACTGCTGTTCACAGAACTTCCTCAGAGTTGGAGGGGCAGCTAAACTGAATGCTTCATAAACCTTATTAATCTCAGTGACTTTCTATAAGTCCTCACTGTGACACTGCAAAACTTCACAATAAGTTCATGGGCAGGTAGCCCCTAAATTTTAGAAATACATTAATTAACCAGATGTTATGCTAAAAGTATTTTTAAACTTAAAGAAAAGTAAATGCTTGTTTTCATGTTCAGCAAAGCACATACATACATATCTATCCCAAATCAAGCAGGTGCTGTCTGTAGTAATCTCTTGCTATCCAATTGTGTTTAAACTTCCTAAGTGGTTTGCTGAATTTGATCCATAAAAACAAGTCAGTTGCTTTAAAAGAAAGAATTACTGTAAAGAAAAATCTAAAAAAAGTGACTCCTGACCTCAATTTTTTTATGCTTAGCATCCCACTAAAATCCCTTGTGTTTTTCTTGAGGTTCTTTTGGACAAGAGTATTTCCTTATTGCATTTGGGTATGTTTTCAAAGCTACATAAACTGCCCTCTATTCTCAGAGACTTCTGGGTAAAGTTGTGAAAAAGTACTTGGAAAATACCTCAGAATATCAAGACTACTTGCCTGACTTGAAGGTCTCATTGCTTACGTCACACTTCAATGCAGTTAAATGAATCCCTTCTTCTCAAATCACTGTCTTTATGATTTCATTCACACTTGCATTTGTAAAGGAGAAGGGCAGGAAAAGTCCAAGTCATTCACTCAAACAAGTCATTGACTCAAGTAAGAGACAGGAAATGCCTTTCTGCTTTTAGGGGGAGAAGAAGTGTTCAGGCAGAAGCAGCCTTGGAGGCACTCTCTCTGAATGCAAAAGCCACCACGTGCTGAATGTGACAGCAGTGTGAAGTGATGAATGCATTTTGGAAGCTCCCAGCACTCCATAGCCTGATTTTTATCTGTTCTTCCCTGCCTGGCTCTTCCCGTTGGCATCTCTGACAACTGCTAATAGGAAATGCTAATTGTAACGTCATCTGTAGTTTAGGTTACATGAATCTGAGTCACAGTCTTCAACAAATAGATTTATTACATCCTGAGTTCAAGCTTCAATGTAGAGATCTGCAGGAACCTACTGTAACTTTGACTGGAGTGGAGCAAAGGGACTTATTTTTAAACCACCTGAGTCTTTTAGGATATATCGCTTTTTTGAAGCCTCTCAGAAAACTCTTCTTCCATTTTCAGACGCCATATTTGGCAACCTGAGGCATTCTATGATTCTATGAAATTCTGCTTTACCTTTTTTCCAGCCTCATTAATTCTGTGATTCTGTGTGATTCATCCTCATGCGCATTCTCATTAAAAACAGGTCAGAAAAATGAGCTATAAAATATGACATATAATTATTACAAATTTGTTTTCTATATTAATATACTGCATACTGCCCAAGTTTAGGAATCACACATTTATGAACAAAGACTCCTGAAAATCTTAGAAGGAATCATACTGATCTTGGATTTAGCTTTTCAGTAACTCCATTCTCTATCCCCATATTAATTCTCTATTATGTGCAGTAAGCAGAGCTTTGCTGCCTTTACTGAAGATGATGGAGAACAGTGCACTCTTGTGGGGCAAAACTAAAACCAGCAAGGAATAAAAATTCTACTTTTGCAGAAAAAAAGGTAACTTCATACAAGTAGTTGAGTAGCTGCAGTAAGAGAGGATGAATATAGTTTCTTTTTACTGGCTGATTCAGGAGATTTACTAAGTACAGTAGCTTGGTTCTACATTTTTTTCCAAATCTTTTGCCGTGCACGCCCATCTCATGATTTTAATTCAAATAGTAAATTTAAAGAAAAGGAAAAAAATCAATAAAAGAACTAGTAGTTTGCAATGGATTAAAGATCAATAGTACTTCTCACAAATGCTTTAATTTAGCAGGCAAGCTAACACTTCATTATCTTCTGACTCAATGAGACAATTCACCACTTCAAGGAGCTAGCACACATCTTATCAGGAACTACATGCTGCATTGCAATGTGGACAACTCAGTATGACAAGACTTTCTGTAATCTGGCTCCTCTGCTACAAAATCTGCTCATTTCAACAGTTTGTTTTCTGTAAATCCAACAATCTTTGGCATCTGTATGGCTCAGATAATCGGTTATCAGACAGACAACCCTTTCCTCCTAAATCGATAATTCAAATCGAAAGCAGTGACCAAAATCAATCCAATGACCAAAGGTCATTGCAGTCTGATGGATGTGTGGTGACTTGTATGAAATTAGTTTGTGGTTTCACTCAAGGCATAATAGTCAAGAGTCCTTTCAAGGGGAAAAAAAGAAAATGTCTTCACAGTAGATACCATTTTCTGTGCTGACAGATTTTAAATACAAACATAGAAGTGAGGCAGAACTCTCTTTTCTCTCCCAGCAGTGCTGTGGCCAAGTGTGAGCTGATGAGTATCCTTTAAAAAACTATCTTGCTATCTGTTTTCTTTGTAGAAAAAAGTAGAACTATGTGCCCTTAACTTTCCATATGCACCAAAGACAGCTGTAAATATTAAATACTAATCTGAAGACTAGAACATTTTCTTTCAAGTCACAAGCATAAACACAAAGATGTAAAACAGTATGTACAACAAAAAGCTATCGTTAGTTCAATATATCTGATGGTCATTACCTGCTCCAACTACTTTATCAATGGATATATTAGAAGCATCTAGTTCCTTGGCAAATTCATGCACAGCTTGATTTGGATCCTCATATGTATGCGGATCTACGTAAGTTCTCAGGCCTGGGAGTTTTACTGTGTAAAAACAAATTCAGAGAGAAAAATGTTACTTAGACTTAATTAATCCTTCTAAAGAAAGCTCATGAGACAATAGAAATCAAAGCAATAAAAGAAAAAAAGTATACTGCTTCTTCAAATCAAACTGCTTTTGAGGGGTCTCCAGGAATCTTAATATAGAGTGAAACCAGAGACGCTAATGTAGCTATTGCAGAGAAGTCTGAAAAACGACTTTAAATATATCTGCACTTGCCATATTTAACTTTTTTTCAAATATTAAAGTACTACCTGCCCTCTCAGTTTTCTCTGTTTAGATGGTGCCTTATATTGTCCCTTTCAAGGTAACAACAAAGAAGCAAGGAACAAAATGTGCGACGCTACAGTTAACCTGAAAATGTTCTTAAACTTATATTAAGGAGAGCACATTGACTTAAGCTTTTTCTTTCCATGTCCTCTAACAAGATGCATTGGAAAAGAAAATTATACATTAACAAATGCACCTCTGCCTCAATCCCTCTGCTAGCACATACAAGGGTGGCAGCCAGTTGTTCTTATTATTAAAGCCTGGTTCTAGTGCTGAATTACCCTAACATCCATGTTATTATTTTGTCCCCCTCTACAGTTTCCTGGCTAGGGATTTTTCTGTTTGCCCGGGGCAAGTGCTAGTTCAAATGACTGAATGATTTTAAGGGCAGTTTCAAGTTCTCCATAGGAATGGGGCTGGGTGATTGCATTATCATTCCAAATCTTTCTCTCCAGCAAAGATGCTGAAGGCAAAGCATAGCCTCATTCTCCCTTCCTGGCTCAAGGCCCTGCCTGTTCTTGTACCCAGTACCTTGAGTGCCTGCCTCTGTATTTGTTTTAGAACACAAAGATGTTTTGTTAACAAACAGTGAAATAACCATTACATTCAGCTTAAAGTTTTCTGCTTCTGAAACAAAACCCACATTCCTGGACATGTATTCTAGCTTTTCCTAACTGTCCCAGTTGGTCTTGTAAAAGATATTAACTCTTCCTCCAAACATTGCCTTACACACTCAGGAAAATCCTTTCCAGCTTGGCATTATTATACTGCTTCAATTTGTTGACTGCTAGAATAATTAAAGCTTTTTTCTGGGGTTACACAGATAGGAAAAAATACCTTTGGAGCATTAGCTAGAGCACACCATTGTTTTGTCAAACAATCCCAAGTATATGCAAAAAAAAAATAATCAATTTTTGGAGATTTATTGACCTCAGAATTGACAAAGAAATGATAAAACTGAGTTCCCAAGCTAATTGCCTCAAAATCAATGCAAACTAAGAGACACACTCCTAACAGAAGGGTTGCGTGTGCTCGGCATTAAATGCCAACCGTGTTTCCTTCAAGAGCCTGATGATTGCAGAATTACTTGCAAGTAAAACAAAAAGTAATTGGCTGTATATTGCTGTTGGTTAAAAATCTTGTAAATGCTCCTTTCCGTCTGTGCTGAATGTACGTTACAAGCTCCCTCATACCACCAATAAAAATAATGACAATTAAAAGCTTCTGCACTGTGGGGTTTTTGGCTGCAGATTTTTAATGCTGACCCCAGAGGTTCCCAAGATCAGGTGATGGTGACTGCAAGGAGAATAATCCCTTCACACCAATAATTAAGGGTAGCCTGTACAGTAACTGGGTTCTGTCATGAAAAACAGATAATAAACACATGCACATGTGTTAAGCTGTACTACTTTACAGCTCATTCTGTGCAAACATAATAATTTACATTTTCATTTTAACAGCATGAATTGCCCTAAGGGTAGCAAAAAAATAAAAAAGGTCTAAGCAAAAAAGGCAAAGAGAGAGGATCTGAGGAGGTGAAACATTTTTGCTCCTTTGAAGTAATATTATAGGATTTGTAATAAGGCTGTAGGGAATAGTTCATGGCTGGAGCCTTTTTAAAAGTAATTCAGAATAAACTGACTGAAATAAACCAGCTGCTGTATTTAAGATGCTGAAAGTTTATGACAGCCATGGAAGTTACCTTATCCTTTTTTAGCTCATAGGAGCAATTTTCTTATCCTTTGAGAAGAACTGTAATTTAGTAGAATAAAGTTTCAACAGCCACAGATGCACATACATACAAATCCTAACAGATAAATATCTGCAAAATCAATCAATAATTTTCAAGATTTTCTACAAGAAATACCAGGTCCATGATCAGCTCTGTTCTTACTACCCAGTGAATCAGCATGGCACTACTCAGAAAACAGTACATAAAAATCTAAAGCTAAATTAAAAGCAATTTAATCCACAGGAATTTAACAGCACTGACATGTTTTAAGAATAGTGATTGCAACTTTCCATTGTGTGGGAGTAAGGAGAGCAAACTCTGATCTGTTATTTGTCTGTGACACTTTTTTTACTGGCTGCTTTTATTTTATAACCTCATTAAATTTGTATGATGAAGAACTAATTCTATGGGCCACATGTAATCGTATAGATTTTTTTGAGGCTAGTTGGTTAGCAGTTCTCAGACTGCATGAAGCAAACTCACTGTTCCAGCTTGTGTATCCCCTGACAGTGCAAGGGAAGGAGCACACGTGTTGTGGATATGCATGCTCACGGCCCTCTGGAGATAAGGAGAGGCTCTGAACTTAAAATAATAGTAATATGAACAGTCAGAGAACAGTTATTTCATTGTCATGGGGATTAGGAAGCAGTTCTAATTTCCAACTACTGCAGGTAAATCCCTCATTAAACTGTTAATTCAATCGTAGTTGGTGAGGAGGCATCTGATAATGTACCAACAGCTCTTTTCTTGCAGATGGTACAGTGCCACTGTTGTGTGCAAAAACCCCACATACATTAACCTTGCAACATGCTAAGCAATAGAAATATATGGTTCAGCATGGTTTAACATGGAGTAGCAGGATATTTATCTGGAGCTGAAACAGTTTCAAAGACAAACTACACCTTCTTATTAAAAACATGCTCACTAGACACAAAGAATTCTGTGGGTAAAAAAAGATAGGAATTTTCAGTCTTGGTGTTTATGAAGGGTGTTATCTTTGCCCTGTAAGAGTTTAAAAAGTCCAAAATGCAGTGGTAAAAAACCAAGAATCCCCTCCTTACTCCTGATCAGGAATGTTAAACTATCACCTTCCTTTCCCCTCAGCTTCTTTGGCTCCAAAATTAATTTCTATTTTTATAGAAGGTATAGATAGAGCTTTGACTGTGATCTTGTCTTCACAATCCACAGCTTCTCTGCTGTGGAAAAGTGCTGCAGGGTTATGCACATTGCAAAGGAGCCAGAATCAGAGAGGAGCTGAAATTCTGCATAGTGACATCCCTTCAGCCATGGGCCATAACAAGCAAGTTCCTCCTGACAGCCAGGACACATGCCCAGGCTCAGAAAATCAACACTTGTTCCCCTGAACATCTCTCAGATGGGATCTTGCACAGCCGAATGACCCAGAGAAGCCACAAATAAAGTTCTATTTAGCCTTATTAAAAATAGGTACACAAACATTAGGAATAGATAATATTCACATTTTGCTTTAGAACACATTTCAAAAGTAGCCCAGATTCCTCAGGATGAGCAAAATCTCACATCCTTAACTATATATAATTTTTGTGATACAAAGACAATGTAAGTCAATTGAAAGGCTCTCTTCTTAGTCCTGGGTGAGACTCAAAGAAAGCAGAGACATATTCATTCTTGCGAGTGAGAAACCAGGACTTGAACAAAACATGTTTGTAAACAGAGATGAATTTAAAAATCCTGTTAATTTTTCAGACACTTGTTTAGTAGTTATTCTTAATTTAAGAAACTATTCCAAATCACTTTACAGCCTACGCTTAGAATAATCGAAAACTAAAGTAGTAGTGGGTCAACTTTGTCAAGCAAGCAATTTTCATAATCCCTTCAGTAGTCATCAAGACAGATTTCATTGATTTTATATTTTGCTTTGGGAAAAAATGTCATTTCTTAGACTTTAAGTAGCTGACAGCAAGGAAGTTGAAGTTACACCCTGCATTTCAGTAATGTACAGCAGAATCAATATCATATTGCTAACCACGCATATTGTTTGAACATAGACAGCGGTGTTTTGCTCATTAGTAAACTGAACACAGATGAAAGAATTTGAAACAAAGAATAATTGTTTGGGGAAAGTCTCCTTACCCACAGGAGAAGAGATAATTCTCTTCCCAATTTCACCTTGGTTTACGTGAGGTATGACTATTTTTTTAAATTGAAAAATACCAGTTATCTTGGGGATGAATTCAACAGATCTGGAAGCATTAAAAGACTTCAGTAACTTACAATGGCCATTCCCAAAATGCAATCTTTTCTCATCAGTGCCATGTTTAGACTTCTTGTATCCACAGAATCTACAAGCAACAGAGAAAAAAAATTAATATAGAGAACTTTATATGTTAACTGCAGGTGGAAACAGAATAAAAATGTTTTCCCTCCACAATTAAATGCCTGTTTGAAAGTTTAATGATATTTACATTCTCTGTGCCCTATAGAGGCATGTTATGTTCTCAGGGAATTTGAGGAAATTGGCTAATGAGAGGATTTGTTGATTTTCGACCCCTACAGTTTAATTTTACAATTGCCTAAGAATGTGTTTATAGCATTTTTTTAACAACCGCTGCATGATTGGGGCTGCTAACGTTAGCTGGCTCATTACTGAGCATGAAGCAGTATTCAGAGCTCCTGGACAGCAGACAAAGGAGAAGGTACAAACCAGTCACACTACTGCCCAACAACACCCAATTTGCCATGCTCATCAATGGCCCTCGGGGAAATGAAAGTGGGAGTAAAAGTGCAAACCAGACCAAACTAACCTTCCGATCAGGACGTACACCACAACTGTGAGGAGAATAATGGCTACCGCCGCTGAAATGGCAATCAATACAACCTGGCTATTCTCACTGGAAATGGAGAATGCTGGAAAGTTAACACAGAAATATATAAATAACCCCTCCCACACATAACACTGATTACATCACAATTGACATTCATATAGGAAACAGACAGATTCAGTCATAGCATTTAGTCTCATGACAAATATTTCATCTATTAAGTAATTTTTCACCAAACAAGAGACTTTGGCCATCTTTGACAATCTACCAAAGCTGTTTCTGCTACTGCTGATTTTTGTTCTTACTGATTATAGTAACTGCTGTTAAACTGATACTTATATATAAACATATCTGTAAATACAATCATACATACCATGACATACATATATTTTGTCATGGTCAGTAAGGTGTTTTCCCTTAGCAAGATATCCCAGCCAGTCAGTAATCACCACACTTACTCTCACTTCTGTATGATAGAAAGTGCTTTGATGAATTAAGCTTCCGAGTTAAGCTTGACAGTATCCCCATGAAGGTTGTGACAAACCAGGGCACACAGAAGCAGATGAAAAGACTACCCATGGTTAAACAATGCTTATAGGAAAAAGAAGGGCTATTTTCTGCTTTATGTTGGATGCTTCCCCGCAGTCCCGAAGCATGGAGCTTTGGTGCACTAGACTGCTGTACAATGACAGGACACCTTTAGATCTTAGATATGATGAACCATCTTCAGCAGACACCTATCACACTTCACTGAACATAGCAGAATTAGGCTACTCAGCACTATGCTTCAAGTTAGTTGTCCAAACTGAGCTGAAAACTTAGAATAAAATGTTCTGCTCCTCAAAAATTGGACAGTTCATCTACATGACTGAAGTCACATGAATGTGTTCGTCTACATGAATGAAGTCACACCATTCCCCTTGGGAAGAAGTCTCTGCCTATTACAGAACTACAACTGTACTTGCATAGTTACGATAACTTGGCAACAGGAATCAAGTTATGCGATTTGGTGTCTATCTGTGTAACTTGTACGCTCATTATTGGGATATGCACCACTGTCTCCTGTCATCTGCCTCATTTTTGGTCAGCTACATAATTACTATTCTGATTATGATTATTATTGTTATAAATATTATGTTGCAGAGAAAACTTATTAACATCTAAATTATGAAATTTTTTATCACTCCAAATGATTTTTTTCTCCTTGCTGTAATTGTCTGTCCTATCTGGAGTTAATTTCATCCAGTATGCCAAAGCTACGTCAACATAACAGTAATCTGTAACTGTTTCTTTTAAAAAGACGCTTGTTTGCTTTTCAGAATCAGAGCTGAGGTTGGGGAGGAAGATCTGGGAATAAAATACATAACTTATCTAAAAAATACATGGATGCCATGTGCAAGACCATTTGGCTTATGCTACTTTTCTTGGTTAAAACTTTGTTGCTTTTAGCAGAGCACTTCTTATACTATGGGTTCTCAAGCCTTATCATAAGGGCATGAATAAGCCTTATAAGAGTGTATCAGAATCATAGTCCTTAGTTGTGCTGTGTTTCTGAACAGCAGATAGGAGTCTTTTGTGAAAGTCGTACCTTCTAAAAAGCAAACAGTCTTTGATTATGCAGCATCAGTCCACATCAGTAACTGAGTACCTAAAGGCTGACTTTTTGATGCATTAAGCCACTTTCAGCTTCTAGCAAAGAAGAGGTCTGATTTACTACATAGTACCAAGTGATAAGAAAGTAACATTTAAAATTATGATCTCTATTATGAGTCTCTCTGATACAACAACAAAACTTGTAAATCATACGAATAAGGTCATCAGTTAAATAATGTTATTATCTAGGCATCAGAGAAAAGAAAAAAGAGTGCGAGACCAGCAAATAACTTCCCCAAGGCCACCCAGAAACACAGTGAGAGAGGATAAGGGAGCCAAACTGCCCAACTCCCCGACCAGCTACTCAGCTGAATGACCATCCTTCTTGGCCTGTGCATATTAGTTTCATCTCAAGGCTATGCAGGAGACATCAGCTACACTTTGCAGCAATGTGGAAAATTACACACTGACCCACAGGAGCAATGGACTAATATCATATGAATTCTCCTGGAGCAGGGGTTTATAGCCCATAGGGTTCAGGCCAAAAATTTGGAACAGCACAAGGATATGAATTTGGTTTTCTATCAAACTTTCTTTCTCAGCAGGTATCGATTCTGGCACAAGGCAGAGGTCGGGTAGGGAATGTAAGAAAATATCACCTGTGATATTCATGGTATACTCTTTATAGCATGTTTCAAGTTTAATGATAAAACATAAAGTTATATAGTAACACTACCCAGAAAGACACATCATAAATAGTTATGAGTCGCATTTACTAAACTATAAATGGAGTGAAAGCAGCCATTCAAATCAGTCAGAAACTGGGCAGGATACCAGTTTAAACCATTTGAACAAATACATACAGTCCGGACTGGTTTCAAACTCAAACTTGCGGCTGTTGGTCCCATATCCAGCTGCAGTTCGGGCTCGAATTTGGAAGACATAGGTGGTGTCAGGTTTGAGGCCACTGATAGTAACGTTGGTGCCTTTGGCTCTCAGAATAGTATAGCTTGTCTCTTGTTCCTGCTTTTGGGAAGAGAAATTACCAGATTAAAACCACACCCTAAAAAACAGAAACAAGAGATTGTGTGTACAAAATACTACGAATCATATGGAGATCACTGCCGCTTTTTTTGAATATTTATAGTCTCACAGATGCTTTCCCAGCCATTCATTTTCAATCAGCTAATTTTTATTTTTTTATTAGCAAGAAATCTAAATCATTAGAACTTCTACAGCCTTGTGCTGAAAATCAAATACTAGAAATGCTAAGTATATGACACTGCATTAAATGGTTTTGCATCATTTTGTCCATAGTCTGTAATACAATAAAATGAAGATTAAATTGTTATTTAAAAAGCATAAACTAGATCTGCCTATTGCACTGAACTGGAAGTTGTAACAGGCCAACTCAGGCGTTTTAGGGCTCTACAGAGCTATTGCAGGATGTAGTTTTTACTGCCTCGCATTTTACAAGACAGTGTTTACCTTTATACCAGTTAGAAGAGAAATTCCACTCATGCTCCTCACCTCAGCTCTGCAAACAGGCAAATAAAACTGGTTTTCTATTATGCTATAAAAAATATAAAACTGGTGTGTCCATCCTCATTTGAGCAAAACCCCACAGAACTTGCTCCTGAATGAATCTTGGGCTTTAGTAGCCAGAAAGGAAACGTGCACTTGCTCCTTACTGCATTTTGCTAAAAAGCAAGGTGTGTGTCCAGATGAGATGCTTACAAACACACTTTGCTTAACAGTCACATATTTCTGACATAATTATTTTTTTATATAAAATAAGAAAAAATAAGAAATGGATCATTTTGTAATCTAGTAAGTCTGGATACACGTCACACAAAGCTAATTCTGATAAAAAGTATGTCTCAGTCCCCCTGTAAGCACATAGTCTAAAAATTCAAGCATGCACTTGAGGCCTGAGGTATTGCTTATTTTACTAAGCCATCCTGTAGCAAAAGAATATTTTTGGCTTCCTAAAAATGGCAGCTGGGACTGCCTCAGAAAAAATCTTGGACAGCAGCCACATATGCAGGGAACTGCAAGAATCTCAGTTGCTTAGGTTTGCAATTATGAACTTTTTTATTCTAGAGGTGGTGGGGATTTCATATGCTGCCCTTTTACTTTGAATACTCTGAATACACCAAGATCATTGAGTCTTACCTGGCTGAAAGCAGAATGAGTTAAGTTAACATACATCATATGTAAACGATCTCAACTAACTCCCACTATGTTTTATGGTATTGCATTAGCTTGCAAGGTACAGATGTTTAAACTTGGACAACACTAGAGTGCCGATGCATGAGTACAGAGGTTGGAAAATACTCAACACACTCATTGTCAAAGCCATCTCACCATCATATGAAAAATTCAAGTGACTAGAGGTGTTTTAGTGTGTTTGCTTTACAGTGCTGTCTAGAATAAGAAAGTTAGGTTTATTCTAATTTAGTAGGTTGACATCAGAAACTGTTCACTTTGGTGCTACAGAAGCCTAACTACCCTGTTCTTGGCAGTCTTTGATATAGAGAAACAAAAACATTTACACCATAGTTAGGGAAATTGCCAGATTCTCCACGTAATATTCAGCATTATGCACATGAGTAATCACAGTGAAGAAATAAAAAATAAATAAAAAAAAAGAAGCTAAGCCTGTGCCTAAAAGTTACCATCAAAACCTCAAATAGGGTGAGCTGGACCTAGTCTATGACTATAAAAATGTTTACCGTGGCCCATTTTCATAGCACACAAAGAATAAAAAGGAAATCAGCATCGGTTTCCCTTCATGGTTTCCTGATACTCCTTTGAAAAAGTTTTCTGTTATAAATTCATGGGAGAAAACTTACAGGAAGACATTCTAAAGACCTAACAGGTTTTTGTAAAATTATTTATTTTTGAACTAACAAAGGCCTAGTATTATAATTTTCAGGCTTTCCTTATCTCATCATTCAGTTGAATCTAGGCAACTATTTTAATTTCAAAGACATAATAATCTTGTCTTCAAAACATAAAATCTTTTGTGTATGCTATGACTGGACACTCATTTTGATCTCACTTCAGGCTGCTTTTATGAAACAAAAACTTTTCCTCCTTGTGCGGATACATACATGCAAGGGCATATAGTCATGGCTCTGTCTGTTAATAATCCACAATGGAACTTGGAAAATAAATGTTTAAAACAATGGTATGGAGGATGTCATGGTATCTTAGTTTATGGTAAGCTTCTTACACACATATTTTGTAAGTCATTTTTTATGTTACTAGTAATCAAATCAGTGAAACACCACATAAAAGCACAAGTTTATCTTTCTTGGGTATGAAGTAAAACTTCAGAGATGCAGCACTACAGCTGCCATAACCAGATGGAATATACAAAAAGGAGAGTCAGCCTTTGCCAAGCAGAACTTTAATCAAACACTCTGTTTGATGATAAATTTGAACTTGGATTCACAAAGCGTATTCTTCCTGAATACTTCTGCATAGTTTACCAGACACAGTCTTTACTGGGAAGAAAATCCCACTACTGTTAGTGTCTCATTTGCAAATGACATTTTATACTTTTAAACTATGGTTTACAAAAGACATATTTTGGATACATTTAACATCTATGGTGGCAGTACTACTCTCAGTAGTGAGAGTGAACGGTATGTCTTTTTTCAGATAAGCACAGTAAGTGTTTATATTATATGATGAAGAACATTTTCTCCATACACTTGAGAGGCCAAAACCAGACTACACATCTCTGGGAGGAACCCACAGTCCCGATACTGTTTCCCCTTATTGCCAGGTGTGAACTGTTCGTCAATATGACAGTTCCTACAAACCTTGTGGAGTATAGATGGCCTACTTACCTTCAAAAATATTATCATCATAACAATAGTTTAAAAGCAACTAAATGTATTTGCATATAATCTACTTTTTCAGCCTCAGAAAGAGTGAAAACTAGATATTATTTATTTGTTGGCTTTAACCAGGCCGAGCACATAATTTCAATGATAACAAAGGCACAGTACTATTTTAGTACTGTAAGACTGCAATTAAATTTCACTGCTCGCAGAAGACTTCACCTTACTAAAATGTGTGGGATTTAGCTCTCAGAATTGCAATCCACATATTTAAATGAAGCAATTAAGAGCTTGGTATTTAGGACACTGTGTTTTTCGTACCTTAGCATGACAAAATACTCCTTCCAGAGAACATAATTAAGTGAGCAAGTACAAGGAGGAAACAAAGTATCTACTTGGGTAAGAAAAAACCTGACTTTTCTTACATGTGCACTTTGACAGCTGAGACACTTAAAATCCAGCACAGCATTGTATGGACAGACTAAACTTGGGTGGTATTTGGTACCGTTAACATAAAATGTTATGCCTTACCATAAAATAAATGCCTAGAAGTTTCCTATAGTATTCCTCTGAAAAAGGATTTCATTTCTTTTACATGTTTGGAATAAATAGTAACTGGAGCCTCATAAACAGGCTCTACAGATTTTTATAGAAAATGCACTTCTCCTCCAAACACTGAGCCTGAAAAACTGTCACTTTCAGTGCATAATGTATACATTAAAGTCCCATACGTTCATTCCAAAAAGTTAAAATAATTTCCCAAAATGGTTGCTCCTGATTTCTCTAGAAACACCATATAAAGCTTTATTCTCTCTTGGTTACATAAGTGCAATCACTGGTTAAAAAAAGACTTGAATAAGTTAATTCATTAATTTGCAGAAAGTATTTTCCACATGCTGCATACCAACAATGCATACAAAGAACTATGGGCTATCATAATTTACATAAAGGATGTTCTATTTTTATTCCAAATCTATTATTAAATCCTGAATATTAGCAACATGCAGTTGCCAATAAATTTCAGGTATCCTTTTAATTTAATAAAAAAACATGCATGGACAAGATGTATGACAGAATTGGGCTGACCTGTTTTACTCTATTAATGCTATATTTATTCATTTCTAAGGGATTACAAAAGGCATAGCAAGTAAAAACAAGCAGGAGGAAAAAGAATGGCTCAACATAAATCATCCACCAGCAATCAGGTACAACTTGTCAGGAGAAATATCCTGATTGCTAACTGTGAAGGGTTTATTTCCTAGCAGCTGCCACTTAGCAGCAGTAGGTTTTTTGATGAGCACAACCAAGATGATTTCTGAAGCAGAAAATCAAACAGACTGGATCAGTCTACAAAGAAAGCTCTCTTTTCAAAAGAGGAGGGGAAAGAGGCAGCTTAAAGATCTCAGACGGAAAAGCAGCATCTTCCAAAGTGTTTAGAGAAGAAACAAAGAAAAACAGTCCAGCATGGGCTGCTCTGACCTCAGGTAAGTTTAACATGCATAGAGTAGTAGTTTTCAACCTTTTTCCCTTTGCAGACCTAATAAGGGCAATGGATTAAAGCCTCCTGACAAAAGATTTTCTTTTTTTAGTTACTTTTCATAAACCCTGAGGAATAGGCTTCTGAATCTCCAAGGGCCTGCAAACCACACATTAAAAAAATTGGTGTCAAAAGGTTGCTTTTTAAAAACCCTTTGCTCTAGATGGTCTGGCTCCTACTGTCAAGCAGTTGGCTTTTTGGTTTAAGAAAGCTGTCTGGTGCGTATGAACTCTTGATCACAGACTTCAAAGGGAAGAAACACATGTGCAAGATCAGCCTCATAAGGCTGGTTGTCTTATGAAGCTGTTTTGTGACAACCAGTTGCTCCGTAAGACTGGATATACTTGGTGGGAATAGCAGCCACATGCTCAGTCTGTGCTTACAACACTACTGGAAGGCAACAATTTTCTTGAATAAAGCAAGCCAATCTCAGTGTAGAACAATGATCAAAACACCGCAAAAAAAATCCAAGTACACAAATAAAACTTCTTGGTCATTCAATTAAAATGAGCTAAATGCACAAAAGGGAGAAAATTCTCTCCCTTTGGAGCAACTAAAACCAAAGAGATCACCCTAATGCTACAATGTACAACACACCTGGGTGTTACATCCTGCATCCCACAGTACTCGCCCAGAGCTGTCCAGGCAAGGACTTCCACTTGGGGAGACTGGAGGTGAAGCTAAGATGGGGCTGCTGCAGCTCTTGGAGAACAAAGGTATGGCAAATGCCAGCAAGAGCAGCCAGGTCTCAAAGAAAGCCAAAGTTAATAATGTGGAGAAATAACCTGGCCTGTGCAACACAGTCTGAAATTCTGGGATCTTTCAGACATAGGCTCTTTGTGAGGTAAATAGCTCTTCCAAGCCTTACTGAAAGGCAGTATCTATTTTCTTTCTTAAAATAATTGGAAACAAGAGAGCCTAAATAATTCATGCATCCCTTCAGCACTGAGAATGTACAACTAAAGACAATCTGATGTATGAGCCAGTACTCTCTTACTTCTCAAGCCCAGGATGAAGCCTTGATGCTGTCTCCATTGAAATAACAGAAAAAAAAAACAAGTGAAATTCTATAGGCTACAACTCTATAAGGTAAGACTGAACTGAAATGTTTAGGAAGCTTTCTTTGTCCCCTTTTATCATTAGTACTATGTATGCTCAGATTTTTACCAAGGTCTTTGAAGGTTCAAATGCTCAACAAAAAAATCCCACCCAAAATCAGATGAAATATTAATTTGGGATAAATCTTTTCAGAATACAGTTTTATGATCCCCATTCTTTGGCTGGAGATCAGGCATGAACTATCAATTCCACATTGTCCCACTAGTAAGTTCCATATGAAAACTTTCTAAAGACTAACTGAATACCCATGGAGTCTTTTAAAGAGCAATTACTAGTGGACATTGGCACCACATTTTCCCTGGTATGTCTGAAATATAAGCCTGACTCCTAGATATGAACAGTACTAGTAAATGCTAAATTAAATTATTATTTCTGACATTTTTTAAAAGTTTGTCAGCTTCAGTAGCAATATATTCTATCAAAAGGTCTCTCTGACCAATCTAAAAATGGCCAATACTACCCTTCATAATCTTTACAACAATTTATGGTGTTTTCAATTCTACCAGTAAGATTTACTAAAAAAACCCCATTCTGTTACGATTTTTTTTCGTAAATATATATCTATATATAATATAGAAATCAACAGCTGTAAATACAAGAAAATGTCAATGTAAAGCAGAACCTATTTAATGGCAGATTTTCTTTGATTTGTAGTTATTTACATAAAATGTATGAAGATTTCAGTTATTCATGAAAAGTGGAAATTTTCACAGAGTAAACTAGTCACCATCTCTTTTCCAAATAATTTTTGTGTAAAAGATGGTTTCACCACAGGGAAGCACCAATGCATAGATGCTGACAAATAAATGTATGAACACTGACAACATAACAGAACTGAGTAAGTAAACTGTACTCAAGAAAAAAAAAAGTATTACAGCTTATCTGCGTTACTTTCTATATTTGTTCTTATGTATTTGGGGGTGAAGTTGGTAGACAACACAACTTGCCAACTTCACATTTTCATGATTTTCTCCTTAACAAAAATTGAACAGTTTCAACACTTAGAGTCATTGAGTCAGACAGTGAGTGAACAGGGGTGTCTGAATCATTAACATAGGCAAGATGGAACAATTTCATTACAGGATTACCAGAACAAAAACCTCCCCTTCAGTCTTTCTTCCCACCTTTTCATAGTATTTGACCTCATAATCCAAGATGATCCCATTCGGATGTTCGGGTTCTTGCCAAGACAGAGACACACTGTTCCTGGATGTCCTGTCCTTCCTTATGACTGTGATGGGGGATGGAGCTGTAAAGGGGATGGGGGGAGGAGGGAGGAGAGAAAAGCAGACGGAGTTTATCTCTGTTCCAATCCTTGGCAAAGAGTTTTGTTTCCATTTAAAAGACTCATGAGCATAGGTCTGGACTTGTATCAACATTCAGCAGCTGGATTATAGTCCTGGTACACATGCCTTAAAGCATGCTGGCTTCAAGGAAAATGAACTGAGATTTTCTGTTAGACTTGAGGACTAGTGGCAAGACAGTAGATGGTTTTGATCTGCTACTACAGTGTAAGCAATGAAATACATTTGATACAGAGAACAAAATAACAGTACTACCTATTTTTTATAATACTGAAGTATTATCATTACCAGACTCTGCAGAACACCAATAACCTTTTCATATGCAAGTGTAAAATGGTGGTGGGATGCATTACGTACAAGGAGCTCCTGGTATCCACAGCTAGTAATGACCATGAACATACTGCAGAATATAGCCTCTTTTATAACATTATTTGGTAATCTCTCCAGCTACAAATTGCTCCCATATACACTTCTGCTTTACCACATTTCTTTGAAAGTGAAATTTGAAGAAAAAAATCTAAACTACAAAATAACCTCATTTCTCATCTGTATTAATCAGAGTTAAGCATGACAATTGATTGCATACCACAGACTCACCCACCACCCAAAACTTGGAAGCACTATCAACCTTACAGAAAAAAATCATAATTACCTAAGATTCTTGAACATTAGTTCAGCTTTAGACCACCCGGCTCTACACATTGTTCCAAGACCAGGCCTAGGTTTCCTGAGCTCACTGAAAGCTATGCAACTTTTTAATTTATTTTTTTTCTGCTTCTTTTGGGTTGGCTTCCCACTCAAAATGCTTCTCTTCCATGGTTTTGGCCAAAATTCACCAGATGATAACTTACAGATCACACATTAAAGGTCGTAACTGTCATTTTAAAAAAAATCTTTTACCAATAAACAGCCTTTTATCTTAACATGTGTTTATAAGTTCAACATTGTGCTATCCTAATAAAAAGGGTCTAGCTGATCTAAACAATTTAATTTCAGCTGAATCCTGTGAAGCTTTTACTGTTCAAATAAAACCAGTTGCACTTTACAGGCATTACACATTTGCATGCCAAGCCAGTGTCTGTTCTGTTTGGATTTTCATTCTTGCTAGAGACCTTTCAAAAGCCAGAAAGAAAGAAGTTTTAATTGAAATAAAATATGGAAAATTCATTCTGTGTTTGATTTTGCTAAACTTCCATCAAAACATACTTTCTAGTCTTAAATCATAATACAAATGTTGACAACCTCCTTTAATTGAGTACAGCATCTAGAAAGGCACATACACCTGCACATATGTATATACACACTTCCACATTCGTTCTGGGTCAAAACACAATCTCTGAGCAGCATTTTCACATCACATAGTTCATAATAGCTTTCTGAGAAGATCAAAAAAATTGCAAAAATATTTTTCATTTTCTTTTTCATCTGAGCAGGAAGAACGTATCCTGAATTTAAATTACTGAAATCAGATTTTTGTGGTTTTATTTTTTTCATAAGTAGAATGCAAAAGATTCTATTTTACTCACTCACCAGACCTATTCTTGCTGAAGAGCTGAAAAGCATTAGGACTGGTTTGTAACAAACATCCTTCAGTAATTCCACTTGAATTTCACTCAGGCACAAACCAGTGCAAGAGCCAAAATACAAAGTGGTTAGCTGGGTGGACTGCTTTACTGTAGCCAGCTCTAAGTTAACTCATATACCCCTGCTTGCTGCTTTTATGGTCTTGTAAGTCATTTTTATGTCTTCTTTCTAAGTCAAGCTATTCATCTTTTTCTGTATGTGAATAGATTGCCAAGCCCAGTACCCCAGCTGGTAACACTTCCCATTAAGGTAACATTAATACAGATTTTATGAATAATTAATCTATGATTAACAGAAATGGCTTTTCCCCCTAACAAATTATGGTAATTTGTGCTATAATGCATTCTCTGGGCAGGCTGAAATAATCTCACATGCTCCAATACATATGTGCTTTAAAAAAAGCTTTCTTCTAACACAGTAATAATTATTTTGAGCTCATTTACACACATCTCTGCAGATGCTACCACTAACTTATCTTACAGCAGTTTATTAGAAAAGCGTCTGCTCTGCAGTTATCAATAACATTATAAAACATTCATATACCTTTCATAATCCCTAGGGTTCCCAAAGCTGTTTAGAAATTATACATACAGAATGTCTGGAAGAGACAGCATCCCACTGCATGGGCCAACGGAGGGGAGATGGATGGGGTACACAAAGTTTCAGGCACCTTTAATCCCTTGTACAAGAATAGATCTGAGTCCTGCAACACAGCGCTACACACCAGGCCACTTCAACAGCTACTGACCCTCTGAACTATGGAAGTTATGTATTCCAAATCTGTTTAAACCACCACCTTAGCTTAACCATGTCAATTACAAAAGTTACCTAGTTTTAAGGCATTAATCTTCAGTGCATAATGGAAGAGTGTCTTCAGATATTTCAGTGGTCAACTATGTTATTTCTAGAAGATAAACCATACTATGTGTGTTCAAAGGGGAAGATGTGTATTTGTAGCAATTTTAATTTTAAATCTTTTATATTATCTTTTTTTTTCATCTTGTTAAACCATCTTCTATATCATTGGAGCATTCTCATCTTGAAGCACCAGAGGAGGTTAAAAACAAAGAATCAATATCTGGGTATAGATTTCATAATTTTCCTCCTGTTCCCATCATCTCTGCATGTTCACATTGGATTGCATTAGTTGATTTTGATCCCTCTTAACATTTCTGTTGCACAAAAGTGAGCCCCAGGGAAGACAGTCCTCACAAGAACCTCTTCCAGCAGCTCCTTTTCTGCCACTGAGTCAGGCTCATGGCTCTTTGAAGCACAAGCAAAACTGAACCGTGCTGCTCCTGGGATGATGTCAGCATTAGAACCCTCCTACAAAAAGGGAAGTAGGAAGGAGCAAGGATGGTCTCAAGTTATACCAGGGGAAGGTTAGATTGGATATTAGGAAAAATTTATTCACTGAAAGAGAGGTCAAGCATTGGAACAGGCTGCCCAGGGAAGTGGTAGAGTCACCATCCCTGGAGGTGTTAAAAAAATGTATAGATGTGGCACTTCAGAACATGGTTTAGTGGGTATGGTGGTATGGGGTTGATGGTTGGAGTTGGTGATCTTAGAAGTCTCTTTTCCAACCTTAATGATTCTGTCATTCTGTAAGGATAAATCTTGACATAAGCATCCCTGATAGCCAGCCTGGTGGACCCTGTGGGTGCGGCCAGAGAAAGGAGCCAGGATTCTGTGCCTGGAGGGGCTGCCATCCACATGGCCCATCACAGCCACAGAAGCAACCTTTCCCCAAACCCGACTCTGCTGTAAGCCGAAAGACAGAGGTGGCCTGCCTCTTCAGCTGTGCCTGCTGTCCTGCACAGCTGATGTCTCTCTCTATATTTACTAAATAGTTTCTTTGCCTACATCCAGAACTGACTCCTCCACTAACACACAGGACTGACTGATGAACACATGCCAATTATCCTTTGGTTTGACCAAGATGAGATAAAATTTTAAAATTATCAGTACAGCACATAGCATAATCTTTCTTTGCTGGTCTGTAGGAATATGGACTGATAAAGTTTTAAATCTCAATGTAATCCTTTTTGGTTTTCTGCTATGTCTGTTAGATAGGCAGGTTTGAAAAGCATTAGAAGTCCTTGCACCCTAATTTAAGAAAACTTCTTGTCCAGATGACTTCTAAATTTGCACTTAAATCTACTGCAATCCACAGATTAAAGATACAGGAAGAATTAAGGCAACTTCTTGTAAGTACATACTGTCCTGCACAGGGACAGTCATATGACAACAGAAATGACTTTCTGACCTACAGCCCCACCTCAGGTCTGGCGTGCATTTAGGAGAAATAGCTCAACAAGGCCAGTGTGGAATAAATTTACGAACAAATTCCTAGAATACAATGTAATAAATCAAAACACAAACTGTGTTCTAAATACTGTCTTCTGATCTGTACTTACTTTAATGGGACGGTTTGTGGTTTTTTTGTTGTTTTTAATAAGTAATCTTGAATACATCCTATGAAGCGTTAGAGGAAAACCTCCAATCAAGTCAAGACAGCTATGTTAATCTAAGAGCACCCGTTTCTGGCCCAAAGAAGAAGTTTGCCTTAGCTTCCATTTTGTAGCAAAACTCCCTTCTTACCAGAACAGCTCAGTAAATGTATTTTACTGTTTATTTGGAAAAGTCTGAAATTACAGCAAGGAGAGAAACTGCAGTTAAAGGAAGTTAACATTATAAACCATTAAGCAATGAAGGCATCACCATGAGCAGCAATGCACATAAAGACTATATGCATATAAAGACTATATGTAGAGTGATGCTTATAAAGACTATGGTTTTTAGTCTTCCGGATGAAGAAGTGGGAGCTGAGAACTCCCTGCTTCCTGAACACCATTAAATAACAGCAGGATGAGACAGAATTCAAAATCAGGCTACAGAAAGGAAAATAATTACTTCATATTCAGAATACCCATTTTTCATGGCAATTCCAGGATTTTACTGTCTTGAATTAGAAGACAATTAGATTGTGGAACGACTGAATGCTAGAACAAGTATTTTAAATGTCTGCAGTTCCCATCGACAAAAAACTTTTGTCACTATGGGTTAGCAAAAAATGACATATTACAAAGCTGTTTTAGATAAACAGAAGCTTTTAAACATACATTAAAACATCAATATCAACACAGAGGTCAAATTATCATTTAGAAAACAAATGTTGAGGTAAAACTTAAAAAGAGTACTTTTTTAGTGTAAGAAGTTGAATAAATGTGGTTTCAGTGACGTTTGACTCATATACCTCTATATAGCTACATTTTTATTGGTGTTTAGATGAATATATTCGTACTCTTAACTTCTTCACCGAATAAGAGTTGAGTTTTTTTATAACTAACTTTAGGATTGT